TTTTCTGGGCTCTGGTTCTTTATTTTCAAATCAAAAATTCATTGTAATCAATGAATTACATGGCTCCTTCCCATTTGTACATCTTTGTTCTCTAGCTGTTGTCTATTTATACTAGCCTGAGTTTTCATGGTGTCCATAGCAAAGAGGTCCAGGTGTTTTCAGCCTCTTGACCCAAAGTAAGGTAGAAAAAGACACAGCAGCCAGATCGTGGCTGGGGCCAGTGGGGGGTTGGCGGGGTGGTTTTTTAGGACCATAGACTGTTCTTTACCCCAATTGTAGTAAGAGAAAATAAGAGTGTTTTAAGTAAGTGGATAATGTAAGTTGTTTTACAAAAGGTCACTCTGGCTGCAAAGTAGAGAGCAAATTAGAGAGTAAGATTGAAGGAAGGGTCCAAATTAAGACCTGATAAAAACATTCTTGCATGGGAGGATGGTGATTTGGATAAGGATTATGGCAGAAGAAATAGATCAGGAAAAATTGATAGATGGTTGGGAGAAAAACGTCGATAGAATTTCATGTCAGACTGATCAGAATACTACCACAGAGGCCAGAGAAGACACAATCTCTGCTCTGAGAATTATTGAGAGCTCTGTAATTTCCACATTCTGTTCCCAAGGTGCGTCCAGAAGCTTGGGACTGCTTGCATCTGGAGGCTGCTGTAACATTGTCTCAACTGCCTGGATGTCAGGTGGCAGTTCTTCTTGCAAAGTCGTGGGAGAAAGTCATCAAATCTACGATAAAGTGACTTACAAAGCAATTGGCAAATGGTCGAGGCCATTCCATGGGCTCTGTATGCCTGAAGACATCACCTGTATGGTCAGCTTCACTTAAGACTTTTTAGGCTTCACTGGAAGAACAGATGTATACAACGAACATTTGATACTCAGCAAAATTTTGTCACCAAATGACAATAACCTGCATGCTGTTTTTTAAGTACAGAGACTGATTGGAGGTCATCTGAAGACTCTGAAGATCTTTGGAAAAAATCTCCAATGGGAGAGGGTAACAATGAGGATAATAATGAAGGCCAGGGATCAACAAATCTGTTACCTCTGCTGGGCTTGTGAGCTTTACCAAGTGAGCTTTACCAATGGATCTTGAAGAAATAACTTCATCACAAAGGTTAATTCTGAATTTCTAAGCATACACTCATTTTCCTTAAGGATTGTCTCCCTTTGGGAACACCAACTGAAAGTAGAAGTCTGGAAGAATCTGCACCAAACCCAACATTTGAGTACATCCCCCTTAAGCATAAAGGGGAAACTGAGCAAGAGCACTGAAGGAGGCAGGCAAACTAGCTTCTTGGTCTACCACTAATCATTCATGCGCGATGGTTAAGTCTGAGCAAGTCATCAACTTGGGGTGTCCATTTCCTCCCTTACAGAGTGAAAGGGCTGGACTAATTTTCTCTAACTTATTTTCTTTGAGTCTAAATTATAATGATGATCATTGAAGCTAATTATTTTTCTGAGTCTATCAATTATACATTTAGATCTCTAAGAAGGAAATAGAGAAAGGCACATAACAGATCTTGTTTTTGACATTATTTTCTTGATTTCCTACAACTGTTCTGGTACACCATGTTTAAGTAGTACTTTTATTTACTATAATTAGAATTTCTAATATACCATAAAATCCAAAGGCAAACAACACTAAGAATATTCCTACGTGAAACAAAAACATCTAGTTTATTAATTGAAACAAATTATATGGCACTGTGTAAAATAAAACCAATAAGCCTACAGTTTGGTTTTCCATCCAAAAAAAAAAAAAAAAGAATTTCATGTCAGTTTGGATATGGAAAATAAAGTGAGATAGTGGACACTGTCGTAAGAATAGATTTGAGTTGAGAGAAATAACAGTGGAGGCAGTTCTTGGCTTTTCACAAAGCAGACAGCAAAGTTCTGGTGGACTTTATAGACTTTCCGTTAGGCTTGGCATGACTGTAGGACAAGAGCTGCTTGAGGAAGTCATGACATGCTCTAATCTCTGGTGATTAACACAGTATAATTTCAGGCCTCTGTTCACAGAGATGCTCAGGATTTTTTTTTTTTTTAAAGAATTTATTTATTTATTTTAGAGAGAGAGAAACATGCACATAGGGAGGGGCAAGGGGAGACAGAAACTTCAACAGACTCCTCACTAAGCTCAGCTGGATGCAGGGTTTGATCTCAGGACCCTGAGATTATGACCTGAGCTGAAAAGAAGAGTCAGATGCCTAACCAACTACAACACCCAGGGGCCCCAAAATGCTCAGGGTTTTAAGCTTAGGAAATGAGCAGCAATTTTATTCAATGATGGTCTGTCATGAATTCACAAACTTCTCAACAAATATTGAGTCTTTCTTTGTCCAAGTATATGTTAAGCAATAGGGATGCAAAAATAAGTAAGGTATAAAGACATTTGTAGATCATAGGATTTACACTTTGGCAAAAGCAAACAACATTTAAACAATTAAGAGTTAATATTTGGGGGCGCCTGGGTGCTCAGTGGGTTAAGCCTCTGCCTTCAGCTCAGGTCATGATCTCAGGGTCGTGGGATCGAGTCCTGCATTGGGCTCTCTGCTTGGCAGGGAGCCTGCTTCCTCCTCTCTCTCTCTGCCTGCCTCTCTACCTACTTGTGATCTCTCTCTCTCTGTCAAATAAATAAATAAATCTTTAAAAAAAAGAGTTAATATTTGTTGAAATTACATTGTAGAAATCAGTACACTGTGAAAGGGAACAAAATTTAGGTATGAATTTATTATGCTTGGAGTGTCAGCCAGTATTAATAGAGGAAGTATATTCCTACTGAATTGTTAAATGGGAGAAATCTCAAAGAGTTGAAGAAAGGCATTTTTCTTAGCAGAATAATATTCCCCCCCCAAATTGTCAATGTCTTAATCCCTGAAATTTATCAATATATTACCACATCTGGCAAAAAACACTCTGTGGATGTAATTAAGGTTAGATACCTTCAGATAGGGAGAGTATCCTAGATTATCCAGGTGGACCCAAATTAATTACATGAATCCTCAAAAGCAGAGAACTTTTCCTAGTTATGGTCGGGGGAGATGCGACAATGGACAAAAGGCACAGGAGATGTAATTTTGCTGGCTTTGTGCATGGAGAAAGAGAGCCTTGAATCAAAAAATGTAGGTGGCCTAAGAAGCTGGAAAAACTCCATAAAGAAATGCAGGCTTGCCAACACCTTGACCTAAGCTCAGTAAAACTCATGTCAGACCTCTAACTTATAGAATTGTAAGATAATAAATTTATGTTGTTTCAAGCCATTAGTTTTATGATAATTTGTTATGCAGCAATAAAAAAACTAATACAGCATTCCTGATATATAATGCACCATAAGCAAAGGATTAGGTATAAGTGACAGTGTAAAGTATTTATATTACACCATCGAAGTGCAAGGCAGAGTATTAACAGATAAAGTAGCAGACAAACACAGGCATTGAAAAATGGAAAGCCCTTGTGTGAATATGGAGTCTTACCATTATCTGGTAACATTGGATATCTATTGAAGGATTTTAAGTGTGGTGGCATTTACATTTTAAAAAGATCCTTCAGGAGCGCCTGGGTGGCTGAGTGGGTTAAAGCCTCTGCCTTTGGCTCAGGTCATGATCCTGGGGTCCTGGGATCAAGCCCCACATTGGGCTTTCCACTCAGCGGGGAGCCTGCTTCTCCCTCTCTCTCTGCCTGCCTCTCTGCCTACTTGTGATCTCTGTCTGTCAAATAAATAAATAAAATCTTTAAAAAAAAAAAAGATCCTTTAAACAGTCCATCTCAATTTAAGGGATGATAGGATAAACTTGGGGAATTTTAAATAGCTTCATAAGGGAGGATCTTCACTGTTTGATGACTGAAGCTTGTTTAAAATATTTTACTCCCCTGTCTACAACTAAATATTATTGTCTTGCAAATGAGGGCAATGCTACCTTTCCAGTTGTGACAGATAAGCAGTATGCCAGCCTCCTCTTTCAGCATGTCTGTCTTTGAATATTCAGTTACTTATGTCTGTACACTCATTGTTTAGTGGAACTTGTGAATTTCTTATAAATTATGTTTGTTGTATAACAACAACAAAAACAACAACAAAAAGCAACCTAAATGATTTTATTCTGTCTCTGCCCATTCCCAGAATCACTCCATAGTGGGATTGTTGCTGCAGCCTCCTATCAATGCCTTCTTCATCTCTCTCAGTAGAATCCATCTTGCTCCTGCTTTCAGACATGCTTTTCGTAACATCTGATCCATCATGTTAGCTGTCTGCTGTAGAGATTAGATTGTCTCCCCAGCACTTCCTGCATTTAGACTATTCAAGGCTTTTCTAGATACTCCAAAATCTGGTTCACTCACACTAGTCAAAATTATCCCTCACTATTTGCCATATTATACTCTTATTCCAGCCAGACTAACAGCCTTCATGCCTTTATGTGCCTTGCTAGTTCATTTCTCCTTGATAGTATAGTAAGTGTACTTTGTAAATATATAAATTCAATAAATGCTGCTTGAGTAATAATCTCAATCTGTCCAATTTTATCCATTATTTAGGAGATGACTCAAACCCAACTGCTCCATTATATAGTGTTTTGTTTCAACTACTCAAAACATGAATTAATCCTCTGTGAATCGTATCATCTATCATGATTATTTCATCCTTCCCATTTAATAATGTATTCTTGACTTTATTGTAAATTCCTTTCAATCTCCCACAGTCCTCCACTAGATAGTGACCACTGTGGTACTGAAATAGGTGCCAATTCATATTTACTGGTTGATAATTTATTGCTTCCATATTCAAATTTTATCTCCTATATATGGTTTTTTTTATTTTATTTATGTATTTGACAGACATAGATCACAAGTAGGCAGAGAGGCAGACAGAGAGAGAGTGGGGGAAGGCTCCCTGCCAAGCAGAGAGCCTGTTGTGGGGCTTGATCCCAGGACCCTGAGATCATGACCTGAGCTGAAGGCAGAGGCTTAACCCACTGAGCCACCCAGGCGCCCCTATCTCCTACATATGTTAAACAACTTTCCCAAGACCTTTTCCCGGATTTGCTGAGTTTTTGCACAATACACAATGGGGTTCATTAGGGGTGGCAACAACAAGAATATATCTGCAATAAGGATTATAACTAGAGGGCTTTTGTGCCTGGCAAAGCGATGCATGGCAGCCAGGGCAATGATGGGTACATAGAAAGTGAGCACAGCACACATGTGGGAGACACAGGTATTGAGGGCTCTGAGTCTATCTGCCAGAGAGGCAATGCTGAGTACTGTCTTCAGGATCAGCATATATGACAGAAAAATTAATGCCAAGTCCAGCATAGTACAGAGAGCAACAAAGAAGCCATAGATAACATTGATCTTGTTGTCAGAGCAGGCCAGCTTCATGGTATCCTGATTCAGACAGTATGAGTGAGAAAGGAGATTCTTCTGACAATATTTTAATCTCCTGAGAGTGAATGGGAATGGAAGCACTAAAAGAATGCTCCTGATGGCTATAGTCAATCCCATTTTAGCAACTCTGCAGCTAGTGAGGAGAGAACTGTATCTCAGGGGATTATGAATGGCAAGAAAGCGATCCAAAGACATAACTAGAAGCACTGAGGATTCCATGACAGTGAATCCATGGATGAAGAATTCTTGAGCAAAGCAGGCATTGGGTGAAATTCCCTGGAATTGAACAAGAAGATTCTCAACATGGTAGGAAGGGAGGAGAAGGACAGGCCCAGGTCAGAGATGGCCAACAGGGCAAGGAAATAATACATGGGCTCATGAAGTGAAGGGTCTGTCTTAATGATAAGGAGGATGGTGCTGTTGCCCATGATGGCAACCAGGTACATGAGGCAAATAGGAATGGAGATCCAGATGTGGGCATGTTCCAATCCTGGGATTCCAATCAGAAGAAAAAGCTGGACCTCAGAATTATTGAGAGCAGACATGAGTGGGAATAGGAGCTTTTTAGCCAAATCTGAAATCACATAAATAAAAAGCAGTCACACTTCTGGATAAAATTCAGTGTTGTGGAGATAAGCAGCTCTCTTACATGCTGTGCTCAGAAGCATATTTGGCATAATAGTAATAAAATGCAATTTTCAACATTTATCAAAAGTCCTTAAACATGTTTATGTTCTCCAACATGGGAATTTCACTTATAACAATTTATCCTATGGTTGTGGTTTTCCAACACTTTTAGCCAAATATGAACTCATCATATCAAAACAGAGGTGCTTTGCTTGCGTCAATGATAGGCATGCAGAATCTTTCTCACTGTTCACCACATGATCTTTAGTAGTTGTCTCATTGGCTTTATAACAAGATCCTGACTTCATGTAAAAAGTTAAAAATAACATTTTAAGAAAATAATCAAAGACCCCTGAGAATATTTACACTATGGTAAATATTAAATGCTAGAAAGTAAATTTATAGACTAATCTGAAATGAAAGAGTTCCTACTTCAAGCAACTGTACACCACACTTCAGGGTATATGTTATTATTCCAAGGGAAAGTATTGATCCCATATAGTAGCATCAGCTGTATGTTTACCATATCTCTCCTGATCAAATTATCTTCTATTTTATATTCATGACCGAATTAGTCAAAGACATTCTAAATGAAAAAATCTCATCGTTCAGTTTCCCTTTGTAAAAATTTTAAATCCACCTATATTAAAATAAACCCTCGTTTTATTTTTAGGGTCTCTATTAAAGAGTTCACAAATTATATTTTCCAAGGAAAAATATATAGTCTTTCAACTTATTATGAATTTGTTGAGCTTCAGGATGTCACGATGTTGAATAATCAGACTAAACTGCTGGAGAAATATACATATCTAAGATAACCGTCATAATTCCCATCTATGTTTTTAGTAAGCCTGATGAATATATACATAAGTAAATGAGAATTATTAAATTAATAATTTCAATTGCAGACTCAAAAATGAAAGGAGAGCCAGTAGAAGGGTAGAGTATGCACACGACGCTAACCTCACTCCTTAATTTTTATAAGTTTGAATGGCAATAGAAGAAAAATCAGTCTTCAGTGGAGATGACACAGGAAATTATTGGGATCACCTAAATTGAAGTTTGATTATGAATTGATATTGTATTTTGTAATTCTCTAGACGATAACTGGAGAAAACATAATATGTAACAAGCAGCCCTCTACCAATGTATTTGATATTTTCTGGGCACTATCGATGCAGATGTGTTTTGCCGGCTTCTGAGCTGAGCTGTAAATGCTAGGCTGGGAGCTCCTAAGTAGTTTGACAGGTCTTATTTGTCTCCCATCATGGCAGTATGCCTAATGCCACACCCAAAGAATGTACATTTCGAGGGTGATAGTAGATTTTCAAATACCATGAAAATCATTCTGTATCTAATCTGTCAAACTGCCCAATTAGCAAATTTTGTTCTGATACCTCTTCATCTTTCCTTTTCCTCTTTGGCAGATGGGTACTGACTTGGGTCTTTCAGAGAATACATCTGTTGTATGTCCTTTACCATGAAGTTTCTACATTATTTTTTTTTAAGATTTTATTTATTTATTTGATAGAGAGAGAGAGAGAGAGAGAGATCCAAGAGTCCTGGGATCATAACCTGAGCCAAAGGCTGACGCTTAACCAACTGAGCCACCCAGGTGCCCCATCTACACTATTTTATAATGTACTGTTTTCACGTACCCCTCCCCAGCCAACCCCACCATCACCATATAAACCAACTGCTAAATACTGAAAGGCACAGAAGAAATTTTATTTATTTTCATCTATCTGTTATCAACATAGTTTCTGGAACATAAAAGGCTCTCAGCAAAAGTACAAAAACTAAATGTGAGTGGAAAAAATGTAAAACATGTAGAATAATTTCTTTTATTCTTTCTTTAAGATTTTGCTTATTTATTTGGGGGGGGGATAGTGAGAGAGAGAACATAGGGGAGAGGGAGAAACAGGCTCCCCGCTGAGCAGAGAGCCTGATATGGGTTTCAGTACCAGGACTCTGGGATCATGACTTGATCCGATGGCAGATGCTTAACTGACTGAGCCACCCAGGCACCCCTGCAATCATTTCTTAATGCCGTCTCCTTTTCATCTCTACTAGTAACTAAGGGATATTTATGCTCACTCTGCTCACCTACATCCTTAATGGTAAACTTGTTACTCAGACTATTCTTTTGGACACGCAGTATGAACTTTAGCAGAAATGGGCCATGAAAGTAGATGAGATCACCCAAGAAAAATGTATAAAATACAAATTTCAAATCTCAGAACCCGGAGGAGAAACAAGATTGTTGAGAGGATCTTGTCCAAGAATATCCAGATATCTGGGAGAAAAACTAGCAGAGTGGGATATAGTGGATATCAAAGGAAGACAATTTTTCAAGGATGACAGTCATTGTATCAAACATTGCTCAGACCTCTTAGAATTTCCATCTTTAAGGTACAAAATAAGCCCTCAGGTCTGATGCAGTAACCTCCAGATATGTATTCAGCTTGGCCATTTGCCATCTGTGTGAATCTGGGTAAGCTGCTTAGGCTTCCAAATAGATGTATATACTCTTCCATTAAATATTATAAACACAGTGTCTATACACAACTAATGAATCATTGAACACTACATCAAAAACTAATGATGTACTATACAATGGATAACTGAACATAATAAAAAAACACAATATCTATCTAAAATAGTTATTATATAACTATTAAAACCATGTATATAAAGTAGTCTGATACAGTCTTTAACATACGAAGATAATCAATAAATACCAACTACTAATAATTATTTCACCAAAATTTCCAAACCAACCATTCCACACATCAAGTCCTAGACTGACTGAAGAGGACTTTTTCTATCTTAATTGACAATACAGTTTACTTTGATTTGTGATATTATCAGTAAATGGGACCTTCTTAATACTAGTGTTAATAAAATCTTTCCTAAATTTCATTCACACTCCATTTACATACATAGAACACACACACACACACATACATACACACACGCAAACCACTTCCTTTTCCTTTCCATAATCATTTCTTCAAAAACAAATGGATTTTCATTTAATTCCACTTACCAAAACTAGATGCTCAATATGTCCCTGAAAATAAAAGTAAGAACTTTCAACTTTGACCTCCATTTTATCTAGATGTACCTACTTCTACTTCCCTCTGGGATAGGGACCTTTGGGAGGAATAGAAAAACAGCCTGATTTTTTTTTTTTTTTGTAAACTTCTTACAGGAAAACAGGTGGGCCTAGTACATTAACTCTTTGATGCCCAAGAACTGCAACCTGAGCTAGAGAGAAATTATGAGGCAAAACAATTGGAGAACTACTCAAGTCAGAGGTAAATGCTAGAAATCACACTGATAGAGGAAGCTTGATATGTAGCATTCATAGCAATCGGGCAATACAGTTAAAAGAACAAATTATTTGTAATCAAAATACTTTAGTTGACCATACCACTTTGCTTTTTTCATTTGAGTTTAATCATCCACAAAATGGAGACAAGTATCAAATATTTATGAAAGCAATTTACAAGCTATAAAATGACTTATCAGTTATTTCATTTATTTTTTTGATCCATTTTTGGCAAATGTCATTAGATAAAGATTGAAATAGGCATTTCCTGCCATGCCTGTTAGATTTCCAACCAGGTATCCACAAATTACATGCCTACTACATTATACCTTGCATTCAGTAGAACTATTTGAAAGCTATCTCCTGTAATTTATTCACATCTTTCTAATTTTTATAAAAGTCCTATAGTGGTTTAATTCCTAAATTGAATAGTAGTTACTCAAGCTTATGAAGCAGCGTGAAAATTTGATAATTTAAGTATAAAAAAGATATATATATATGATAACTAACATACATGTATCTGGCAACAAAGATGTAGAAAGTTAAGAGTAGCCCCACTTACATAACTTTCAGTCACGTATTTGGGCATTTTGCTTCTCATTCTTGTAGTTTAGGTTCTGTTGGGCAGGAGGTTCTGATTCCCAGAGTGGGGGATATAGCAAGGGTACAATTAAAATTTAAGTTATAGCTCCTGCCTACTAACTTTTATCTTCTCAAGTCCAAAGACCAGCAGACACAAAAAGAAGTCCCTAACTTGGCAGGGTAATTAATCCCTAATCAGGAAAAAATAAGGATGCTGCTAAACAATGGGAGGATGGAAGAAAATGTTCAGTACTCAGATGGTTGGCTGGTTATCTCTTCATACTCTCCTGACAAATTTTGATGATGAATGAACAAGGGCAGCAGCCATACCCTGAGAAGAGCATGGTATCTAGGGGTTCATACCTTTTGGCAATAAGGATCTGGGTCACTCCATCATGAAACACACCTAGACCATAAAGGTTCTAGGTGAGGGGAATTTAGAAAGGGTGGTAGAGGTGGAAAATGATGAGTTGAGGCATCAAGAATACTGAAGTGAGTGGTGCCTGTTGTATTTTATTCTCTAACCTTCAATATTTATGTTCCTTCAGGCAAAGGAACCAACCCAAACACTGGATGGGCTATTCCAGACTGGGTGAATTTACTAGATGAAGCAGTTAGATATGAACTGTGCTACAGCAGACTCTCATAAATGCAGTCAGCACTACTGCAAAACTGAGACACTACTTCCCCAGCTTCCAGGAATATTGGCAGCTATTGGAATATAACTGAATTCTACTGGAATTTTTCTGATCAAAATGAAGCTGCCTCACCCAAGTTCCTCGCTGGTGGAACAGAATTCATTCAGTGATTGGTTGATACAGAAGTTCATAAATCTTACCTCTTTGTCTCAAAAGCTATCCCAGTGCACAGTTTTCTGTAGGATTGACAAAGCCACCCAGTACAACTGCCTTGAATATCAAATTATCCTTCTAACCAATCAAGATTCTTCCACACTCCTATAGGCATTTTTACTGAAAGTCTAAACATACATACACACACACA